TTTTTACATGCTTAGACCGAGCAAACGTGAGCGCTCCTCTCGGGATACCCTTCGGTCTAGTCTTCTTGCTAGACACCACCGCCTTGCAGAAGCCTCTTCTGTTTGTCATGATTGTACCAATTGTGTAAAACCCCATGAGCAGTAGCTGTACGGCTAGCACAATAGACGTGTAGAACCGATCGACAACGACAAGTCGCATCGCTTTCTCTGGAGGCTTATCTCCAAACACAGCTTTCAGGTTACGAACAACGGCAGCAGGGCCGGACTTCATGTCCACAGCACCTGACTCAGCAATGTGCTGCTTCTTGCCACAGTACACCTCGAAGCTGTACATTGTCACACAGCATACAGATCATAAGTAAACGCATACAGCAGAACGAAGACAGCATTCTTACCGAATACAATAAGCGGACACAGCACAACAGAGCATGAAAAGCTTTGTACCCCATTTGTGGGGTTTATCTTTCATGTACACTCTTGTCCGATTGAACGAGCTTCTATTCGGTAGCATGGCTTCATCAAACGAAAGCTCTGCTGGAGGATTGAAGTACTGCACAAACGTCTGCTGCAACACGTTCACTACAGAGCGAATTTTCCATACGCGATCGGTTTTTGCACGTGGGTCTTGGTTGCTCGTGAAGTGGAGATTTTATGTGAGTTGCATGAATCGATCTCGTGAGAGAAATTTCCCAAATGTGCCTCTTGGAAGTGCCCCTTGCTCTGACAGCCTCCAGTGGTTCGCTAGTTTTTCGCGATTTGGCATGATTGTTCGAGCTATCAACAGGCCGATGTAGACGCACAGCTCGTGCGGCATTATCGGCTTCACCGAATGGAACTCTTGGCGTACATCTCGTCTTGTCTTGTTCTTTTCTTGTTGTACTGCGCGTCCAGCTCGTCGCGCCTTCTGTGCTTGCTGTTCCTTTCTCTTAAAATAGGCATCCACACGGGCATCTAGCTGCTCATGCATATAAAGATTGCTGCACTCTGCTATATGCTGCCACAGCGCCACTGGGATGAACATGAAGAATAGTGCGATAGGCGACGCTCCACGCTTCAAAGCCTCTTCAGTCGGTCCACCGCGTTCACCCATCAGATCTGGATACTCGTCCAGATATTGCGTGACATTGGGCGTCTCGGGATCATGCCATCCAGTAGTACCGAGATCTTTCAGTGCAGGTCCGATGATATCACCAGCCAGAACGCTGTCGTGGCCACCGATTGAGTTGAGAAAACTGTCTGCAAAATGGCGTTCTTCCTTTGCATACATGTCATCGTCCTCTTCATCGATCGTATCTGATCCTGACGAGTCAGCGTCACTGACATCCAAATCGTCCAGGTCTATCTCCTCTAATTCGGTCCCCGAGTCTAGCACACAGTAGGTATCATCACTGCCTTCAGGTGCGTTCAAGTCGTCGTCACCGTCACCTAGCATGTCAACGACGTCGTGGGTACCTAATACACCAAATAATACAGCATAATGTACGTGTTAGGCATACGATGTATGATGTACGATGTATATCCAACTCAAGAAAGTAATCCTACCCAAATCGCCAGTACGACTCTCTTCTTTCGATTCTTCATCTTCTCCACGAGCAGGAAGAGGACTATGGTGTCGTCTCGGTTGCTGCAAGTCGCTATCATTGCTGCGACAGCCGCTTGGTTTGCTACTAGCATTGGCTAACGGTAGCACACAGTCAGCATTGAATAACGAGTTAGCAGTGCATCGTAGCGCAGAATCGACTGAATTGTTCCTCACCTGGCGCACGGGACACGGAAGTCGAAGGTGCTGACGAAGTTTCACGCCTTGGGGGAGGTTGAGCCGGCCGGGAGTCGCTAACTGCACTTGCCATGACGGCTGATACAGCAAAAAGAGCTTATACATCATTAGATACAGCATTTCAAATATACAAAGCGCGATGCAACATCACCTGGAGTAGTTGACAAAGCTACACGCCTTGAAGGAGGTTGCGCCGGCCGGGAGTCGCTGACTGCACTTGCCATGACGGCTGATACAGCTGTATCAGCCATGACGGCTGATACAGCAAAAAGAGCGTATACATCATTAGATACAGCATATCAAATGTACAAAGCGCGAGGCAACATTACCTGGAGTAGTTGGCACAGGTGCGGATATCGCACTCTCAGCGACCACATCACCTGGTGCTGGGTGTTCAGGTAGCGTTCCAAGTTGCTGGTCAGCAGCAGCATCGACAGGAGCTGTAGCAACAGGAACAGCGGCTGACGCAGAAGAAGCCGCAGAAGGAGAAACACCTTTATCCGCCTCTGCGATTTGTCGCTCTTGCTGGAGTCGAGCTTCGTGATTTCTCTTCACCACTATACACAAATGTAATACAACTAGCAACGTCAATAAAGACTAACCAAAACAACTCAAAGTATGGCAAACCTTCTCGAGAGTACAGTAATAGAGCTTGCTCTCCAAGAAAGTAGTCCACTCCCTCTTTTCCACTGGGATCACCGCCTGGCTTGATGTACTTCCAGAAATGATTTAGGCTTCGGCTTGATGGTGGCTTCGCGGTCCACCCAGCCGACTTAAGGCCAGCCCAGAGTACGCGGAAGCTGTCAGGCCCCCGCACGGGCACAGGTACCGGAGTTGCTCCGCCAGAACAACTCCCTCGAGATGTTTCGCGGGTCCCCACCATCACGAGTTCTCAACCGCTTGTTGTCCACCGCAGAAAATCTTTGACTGGCGCTCAAGCTTGCGAAAAGGGCGCGAAATTTACCTCCCAAAAAGTATACTGCTTCGAAAGACTGTGCCAAACCTGGCACTTATAATATCTAAAAAAAATCGAAGAAATTAGAAGCGGCCTTTCTCTCTCTCTTTAGACTCATCTGTAGGAAGATACATTTTCCGGCTCTCACATTTTAATCTTCGCTTTTGTATACCTTGTGAATCTGTCAGAAACAAGTATAGTTTATTTAGGTATAAAACCACTACGCTGTATATACAGCGTAACAGCTGATTTCAAACGCAGCTTATACAGCTACCGGGTTGAAGGGGTTAACTCCACGAATTGGATAACTACGGTCTGCGTTAGTAAAAATCATCATCGGGGGCAAGATACGTGCACTTGGCCCACCGCTGATTCGCACGACCATTGTCATTCCATCCCCTCCGGATACAACATCCGCATATTTGACCTGGTTTTCGCCTCCAAAACCGAGAGTCTTGCCGTTGTCAAAATCTACAACGAAATGAGTTTCATCGATGTTTTCAATCGCATTCTCGTCATACAAACCGCTCTCAAACCCACGCTTCAACTTGCCAAGGTGATAGGCCACTTGCTTCTCAATATCTTCAACCTTCTGAGGGCTCACCAGTCGTTTACCTGTTGCCGCACGAAGTACTATGTTGTTGTTCTCCATAAAGGTTTGCACCCAGCGTGAAGTGATCTTTGTTAACAGCTCAGCCCCGTTCTCATCAGCCTTTGGAGCTTGAGGATCCTGGAGGATACGCTTAGCTACTTGACGTAGCAAGGATGCGTCGAGCTTCAACCATAATTTACGTAATCGATCAAACTCGCTTAGCAACAAAGGATATATCCAGAGCACCCACTTGCTCCGAGGACGACCTCGGCCGGACAAAGCCTTAGAGTTCACTCGCTTTCCTCTATCTGATCGTAAACTCGACGGTGACACAGAACACCGGAGTGGCGCTTGAAGTTGCTCTCGATTCTTCCACCAGGCCATCGCTTTGCTAAGGTTAGCATTGCGAGTAGACGAGTTAAAAATATCAGGAAATTGATCTACAGCTCTCGCGAACATGTTCTTTGCTCCCTTTGCTTTTTCATATTCTTCCATCCAGGAGATGACACGACGGCGATGCTGGATGGTGGTAGCCTGTTGTGACGCTCGAGATGATGTTGACGTTGGCAACTCAGTCACGACCACGTTGGAAATAGAGATTATGTCGTCTTCAGAGCTCTCTTCTGAGTCGTCCTCGTTGGCATCATCCTTCGAAGAGATCGAATCTTTTGCTCCCTGTAGCGCGAAAGCTTTTATGATAGGAGGAGCTGGTATAGCTTGAGGTTTGCCTGAATCACAGTCTGGACAGAGAACATGCTGTCCAAAGCCCTCTTGTCCGACAGGCTTCCCACAAAATGGGTGCATATGAACAGAGCAGATTGGGCAGACGTGAATAGGACCAACGAGGTCACCACAGCCACCACACGGGGAAAGTTGAGCTGAGTTGGAGCTCATTAAAAGATAGTTCTTAGAGGGAGAAGAGGCGTTGGTGTGTTGGAAGAACTTCTGGAATGAGAATAGACCACATTAGCCTCCAAAATGCGTTGGTGTGTTGGAAGAATTTTTGGAATGAGAATAGACCACATTAGCCTCCAGTCACATAAAAATAACATTTCCAATTATAAAATATCAAATACTCTTCAAATAAGCTTAAGGAGACTGCATAGCTATTATTCTATTAAAAGTATAATTCATATCCTTAAAAAACATAACCCGCTGCTTCGTAGTGAGCCGCGTTGAGGGTAAGTGGGAAACCCACTTTTATTAAATGACCTGTTATTGCATCACCAGTAAAACGCGAGCACCGCCCGTTGCTGCGGAGGGACTCGAACTCACGCCAGGAGTGTAAACCGGGCCAGTCTTTTCCACTGCGCCAATTCGAATGCCCAAAATAAGGTGATACTAATTATGAACTCAGACTAATTTTGAACACGACATTTTCTTGCTCACGGTAATTAGTCTCACATTCGAACGGTGTGACTAATTTCGAACTGTGACTATTTATTCACACAGACTAATTACCGTGGGCACTGTAGTTGGCTGTATTCGATGTAAATCAATGACACGTTCATCCAAGCTGGGTCCAAATACTCCGGTAAGCCGCGCAAATTTGTGTAGCAAAGCTCAATATCCGTTAGTTTGTGAGGGAAATCAGTATCGTAGAGAGCTGGAGGAAGAACGCCATCTTTCATGTTCACCCGGGCCATGAAGAGGAGGCTAAACTCGGGGTGGTTCGTGTTAGTGATGGCTGCTGAAACTCCCCAATTGTCGATTGTCGAATTATAAACCCTAATACCACTGACTCGATGAAACTCTGTGATCATGTCTGGTACTTCTAATGATGCACAATGCCGCATGACTAACGTGACAACGCTGGACCTATCGAATTCACTCCACTTTGCCTCAACTTCATTCATTTTTCCGGAGATACCCAGGCGATAGCAATCAAGAACAGCCAAGTAGCAGGCAGGTTCAGACACTGCCCATGGGTGGACTTGTAAGGTGCATTGTGGTAATTCAGGCTGCAAAGACGCTTGGATGTGAAGACCTAACACTAGCACACCCCAGGCTGCAAAGAGTAGATGTACCAAGTGGAGCACCAATTGACTACTGCGTGATCGCAGTCCGAAGCTACCACCTTCGATCGTGGCTACATTCCGCGGCTTCCGACCCGTTCCAATACTGTTCAGAGCAGGGCCCTTGGTAGTTGGTTTGTCTGGTACTTTGATATTAACGGGAGCGCAATTAATCCGTGTGTCCCTGCCACTAGGTACGAGACGTAATAGCTTTTTCAAGCTTGTAGTCGTGGATATAAGTCCAAGGGAAAACACCGTACGGCTCATCAAGTCCGACCACGAAGTTACAAGAACCATTTGGGATTCATTCAGAATGCGAGCAGCCCACGACTCGCTATACCATCTCTCCATTTCAAAGCCGGCCATGTCAGCGTTAAACTGATCTATGTAGCTGAGAACAACGATGAAGGGGATGCCCACGCACGACACGAGATCAAGGATACAGTCGCACAATGGACAAGCAAACCGTCTGCGAGCCTCGTTTTTCTTGAATAATAGAGAGTATATAAAGACAGAAGACCAGCAGTTGAGTACCAACAAGCACAGATAAAATCGATTCAGCAGCCAACGTGGAAGATACCAGCTCATCCTGTAAGCTTGTTGTGTTTGAAGAGCTGTCTCCACGAGCTCACGAGTAACTAAGATGGCGTGAAAGTGTCCTCCATTCAACCCCAGAACCCCTTGCCTACCCCACACCTTCGAATACATCCGCTCAGTACGTAATTTAGCAGACAGCACTCCCGTAGCTACTTTATCGTTGATGTCGGGTGTCGTTTTTGATGATACTCTTTTGCTGGTATTTAAGGTAGCAGGATCGCCTTCTTGGGGCCATGGTGAGAAGGCCAGCTCTTGCTGCCAGATAGACCCTCCCACCATCAGAAGTATACAGATACCATGAAGTGCTGCCATGACTGCGTTCACGTTCGCGATAAGGTGATATTGTTGTATCATCGTGTCAATCCCGATGTACTCGAAAGTAACGTACAAATACATCTCCTGCAGCTCGTAGTAGAACATCGCGTACGCGGCGTTGTATCCAAACGTAACCAAATGCACCGCAAATATGATAACCCACCACAGCGCGAAGCTTTAGGACCCTAAGTCGACGTACTGCGATGTGAAGGATGGCGACTTAGCTTTTCCAGGCATGATACTGCTCTGCAGTGTGCCGAAGTAACAGGTTTACCAACAATGTCAAATCTAAAAATGGGCCTTGGTCTAGAAGTTATGACATCAGCTTGTTATATTTATTTTTATCACGATTCTTATCAGCCATTTTATTTACATGTAAGACACGAAAGCCTATCAATAACTAATAGCGATACTTCAAGTTGGGTCCCAGCTACATTACCAGGGACTTTCGGTGTCATCGTCGCAATATGGCGACCTTACGTAATTCGTGGTGGTGGGTTATCTTGCTCGCTGTGCATTTGGTGACCGGTGGATATAATGCAGCGTTCGCTTTGTTTTACTAGGACACCTATTTGTATCGAGCCCTGAATGAGGGCAAAATGCCCTCCTACTATCACAGGCGTGAGCACATTACTAGCAGTCATGCACGGTGGCTGTGCGCTGTTGATGATCGTTGTCGGTACGACTCTTCAGTATGTCGCGGTATTCCTCCTTGATCGGGGTCGTGTATCTTGCAAACCGACCGTAGGAACTTTTAAAGTAATAAACGTAATAAACGTAAACAAATGTATTGATTGTCTTCTCAGTTACTTGTGAGGTAAAGAGGAAAAACACGACTGAGCTGCTCTCCTCGATGTCCACGAGAGAGAGCAGCTCCCTACATCCTCCTACGTGGCGGTCCACTCCAGATCTTGAAATCAGCCGTCGACAGGCGTTCTTTTTATGCCGGGAACGCCGACGTCGGAGGCGAATGACCCAGTTGGTTAGACGTGGTGCGCTTCACCTGAAACGCGTTGAGCTTCTGAATACATTCGGCGAGAAGGTCGAGTCCCTCATCCAGCCGTATACCGTGACAAGTAAAGAGCCCCAACAAGGATTTTCTACTACCAGCTGCAATCTACCGATTTACCAACTACAAATTCGGGATACATCGTTGATCCACCGCAAAATCCACGAATATACGGTCGGTCACTACGAAAGGGAGCGTCTTCTCCAGCGTTCCTAGAGTCACAGGCAGGTCGATTACGCCACTTACGCAAACGCCATGGCCCGTCACGCCATCTAAACTTCCTGTGTATGGTCGAAGCGGCTCGGAAGCCCTTCCGAGTCGTTTCAACACACGTTTGTCGACCAAACTAGCCATAGCGCCGGTGTCGGCCAGCATTTCGCAGGGGCAACAGTCAATGTAGCCGTCCGATAGAGCTTGTATCCCTCCAACACTGCATATAACGCGTTTGCCTTCAGGTACCACACTATCATCATCATCTACGACTTCGTAGCTCCGCTCGCACAGGCCAGATCGTCTTCGAGGCCGGGGAGCTCTCTTCGCGTCCACGAAATAGATCTCTGGCTCCTCTTCGGCTATTTCGAGCTTTTTAACTTCCAGCGTTTTGATTGGCAAGCCAGGCGTCGCGTCCATTCGCAGAGTTTCTGTAGCGGTCGCCCCAACGGCTCCAGTTGTTTTTGGTGACGCAGGCGCCCTGTCGCCTAACTTGTCGCAAAAAGCGCCGACCTCCGCCTCAAAATAACTTCTAGCCCAGATTATTGCGCAATTTAGGAACGCTTCGCTTAGCGTTCCCCCAACTACACAAAGGTGGCTACGGAGCGCCCCTTCGTCCAGGACGTTCTCAGTCGCGGCGTCACTCCAAGGGTCATCCTCGCCCTCGCCACCTCCCTCTCTCGGAGGCTCCGTTGTCTTCGAAGGGAGACTTCTCTTTGCATCCCAATTCTGCTTCACGAGTTCGTACACCAGCCTTCGCACCTCTGCACGCCATCGAGACGGCAGCGTCCCGCCACTGTCTTCACAGTCTCGAGATACCGGGATGATCGCTTCGTCCATGGTGACGCACACGTTCCTTTCGACCTCTCGTTCACCATCTCGTCCGGCTCTGCAGTCTCATCGCACTCGCCCTCGCTTACAGCGGCCACGTTGATCGTCGGCAGTTGCGAGCCCCTTGCTTCCACCCCCTTGAAGTCTCGATTGGCACGCTTCGCTACCGTCGACTTCTCTAACGTGTCGGCATACCAATCCAGCCAGTACTCTGGCGTCCCCATATCCCCAGTTGAGACGGCCCGTGTGCGTTCCAAGACAGCTTCCGGTGTTCCAAGTGTCACGCTCATATCCGCCAGAGTCGGCTTTCCTAGTCCAGCATCGTTCCGCTTGGCACGCTCTAGTATCCTCTCGTCGTCCAGCGGGAACAAACGATCTTCCAGATCTTTCGCATATTCTTCGGGCTCACTTTTCACGCCCGAGTCTTCACCGAGTTCGAGCATATCCAGCTCCTTGTCAGAGAACAAACGGTCATAGCGACTGGCAGAATTCAGCTCTTCGCTATGTCCTTCTTTCTCTTCTTCTCTCGCTACCGTCACCTTGTCCTCATCGTGTTCCCAGTCCCCACGGCAGCCACAACTTGGTGTGCCTTGAGGCTAGCAGCCTCACCCACATTCGACTCGATAGCATCCTTGTACCTCGTAGAGCTATTAGCCGGCACCGTTGCCTCCTCTACCGTTCTGCTATCCTCCGAGTCTTCCTCTGCTTCAGCGAAGCATACCTTTTTCGTCTCCCCGACGCCTGGGGTCTCTCTGGACCGCGTCGTAGTTCCGTCGACTTTCCCCTTCGACAAAGTACAGCGTTCCGTTGCCTCCACACTGCCGATTAGCGTCACGGATGAGCGTTCCGCTGCTCCATCCGTGCTCTCGCTTCCTTGTTCCTGCTCGTCCCTCGAGCTACCCACGTTTTCCTGTTCACTTCCAACTGTCACACTCGCAATGCGAACGCTCCGAGCGCGTTCACTAGTCTCCTTGCTACTCCCGAGAGCCCTCTTAGGTTCCGCCGCAATCTTCACTTCCTGTGAACCTTCAGCCCTCTGTGTGTCGCCAACTAGGCAAGAGGAAGGAGCGACACTTCCTTCCCCTCCCTCTTGCCCCCTTCATTGCTGGGACGTTCCGGTGGGAGTGGCTGCTCTCGTCGAGCTGGCGTTTCCCGCCAGACTACGAAGTTGTGCCAGCTCTGGACAATTCGACATCGAGTGTCCCTTTTGCATGCAGAAGAAGCACTCTAGTCCACGACGCCCTCCATTCCGATTATTGCTAGCTGGCTTGGGCCAGTTACACTCCATCGAATAATGTCCGTCTCGCTGGCAGCGATTGCAGCGTCCTTTGCCTCGCGGACGGTTCTCCCTACTACAACCCTTTCGCTCGCAACGACCGCATACGATCTCGCCTTCAGTCGTTCGCGTGTCCGGTCCCTGTCGGACATTCAGCGGTCCAAGACTAGCGTTCCCGTTTGAAGCTGGGACGCTGGAAGCCTGTGGCGCTTGAGGGACACTCGGAGCCACGACGTTAATCTGTCCAAGCTGCGTTCCAGAGCCCTGTTGGTTGTTCAACATGACCTGATTCATCAATTGCAGTTGCTAAAGCACTTGCGACTGAGTAGACGCCTGAGCGTGGGTACTCGTTGACTCCGTTCCCTCTCCGGCGAGCACGTCCTCTTCTTCGACAGACAAGTGCTGATTCTTGTACAGCAGTAACGCACACGCTTCCGGAATGGACGCTACCATACTATCATTCAGGACTGCTCTCATCTGCTTGTTGCGCAACCCATCCATGAAGAACTCGAATTGCATGCGTTAGTTTAGAGCTTCGCACATCGTCGAAATTCGGTCGCCCCATTCTTCGGCCGACTTGCCGCGGTTTCTCTTAGCGTCCTTGAGTCACTTCCAGAGTTGCGTCGGAGTCTGACAGATAAAGCGGTTGTAAAAACGCACCCTTAACGTCTCAAAGCTATCAATTCTCGAGTTGTACCACCATTTCTGGCCCACTTCGCCTTTCAGGCATTGCTCGAAGGCCGTAAATCTCATCTGGTCGTCCATGCCGTAGGTGCACTTCTCGAAGGAACGCCAAAAAGCGGCGGCTCTCTCGCTCGTGGCCGTGTCAGAGTAAAAAAGGAACGATGACCTTTACGGCGTTCCTCAACTCGGTGGGATTCCCAATGTTAGGGGCGTTCCGATACGAACGGTCTCCGATCGTTGCCGTTCCATATCTGCCTTCCTGGCCACCGATAGAGTTGGCCATCGGCTCGTAAGGCAGTCCTGAGCTCGTCGGGTTCCTCCCACTCTGTCTGTCGTCGTAGCTCGGTACTCTAGTACCAGCGTGCCCGTCAAACACCCTGCCAGAGGTGGCATGTCGCCCACCCGCCTCCCAGGTAGCAGACGTTGGAGCCTCCGAGGATACCGGTGCCGAGGTCCAGGCGGGTCGCGTTCCATGGGCGCGCCATCCAGACGTAGGCGTCACTGGAGGTTGAATAGGAGAGTAGTACGCCCCGGGCAGAGGCGATCCTGCCCCTCGACTGCTCCAGCCAGGCTGAGGCGATTGGATTGAAACGCCTCCATACAAAGGGATCGCCGCCATCGGCATCCCTGTCCGAGTCGCAGCTACTGTTCCCGGAGTCATCCTTGGGCTCGTGGCCTCTAGGCTCCGGCGGTCTTCCATTGACGAGGGCGGAGATCGTGCTTGGCGCAATCCTCCCGACGCATCGTTCAGCGAGAGGCCACGGAGCGCTTGTTGGAAGGAGTCGATTAAGAGCGCTTGGAGGGTCGCGTCTGTGTCTCGCGTTCCACTTCCAACAGTCGATGTCACGGTGGACCGAGTAGGGCTCTTCCTCTCTCCTCCAGTCGAGACGTTAGATGGGGCCGCGGTCCTTGCGTCCCTGGAGCGTTCGTCCTCGCTCCTTCCCAATCCTGGTCCTTGCGGACTAGCGGCAGCCGTCACGTTCCTCC